ATTGTGAGTTTTTAAATATAGAGGAGATTCATTTATTTTCATTGTCACCCACTAAAGTTTCAGAAAACTTTTAGTGGGTAGAGAATATTTTATTTTCAATTTGTAAAGGAGATAAATGTTGGATTTCCAGTTTTGCAGCCAAATATATATATAGAGAGCATTTCAACACTTCTGATGATGTCAGAAATGAAATGTTACACAGTTGTCTGTATTTGCTTAGAAGTATAGCAGTTAGCTGAGTGTTGACATGACTTGTAGTTTCCTGCCATCTAGTGGAGAAACATGTTATCGTCACCACAGTGACTACAATAACAAATCCTGCCCTGTGACAACACTAAATGAATGACATCACTTAAGCAGCGGGAAGGCATTGGTGAATCATAATGCAATCACACTAAGTGCCTTGTTCCCATTCCCCCTCCGTCCAGCCCCTTCGATGTCGAGGACCTGACTCTGTCGTCTAGCAACGTGAGCAAAGCCACAGCTCTGCAGAGACGAGTGTCCATCTACAGCCAGGGGACGCCAGAGACGCCCACCTTCCAGGACACATCCTTCTTTGTGAGTCCAACACACACAGACACACAGCTCCTTAAGCATCACTGGTGTGATGGTGAACGATATTTGTTTTAACATGAGATTCTCACCTACAAATCTGAATACTGCCTGCTCCGAGGTTTCACGACATTTAGTTTGTGGCTCAATTTTTCCTGTTGATGCACTAATGTAAACGATGCCCAGCCCTTACTCCTGACTAACCCTCACCCATTTCCCTGCTATCCCCCTCCACTTTGCATTTCCTCATCAAACCCCCCTCTCCCACACTCTGTCCCACCTCACACGTTTATCCATCCCTCCTGTATCCCACTCAACTGCCCTTGCTCAAACATGCAACACCTCGTCCCGCTTGCTTGTGCAAAGAAGTGGCGGCCACATCCCGTGGAGCGCCAGCGCCTCTCCTTCCTGCACATGCTCAGAGACACCCTGCTAGAGAAGCTCAGGCGCAGTCGCTCGTTTGGTGACCTGGCCTCGCTTCGGCCAAGGCCCAAATCCAGTCTGGAGGTCTATGTGAGTGTGCTGTGGCCCCTTGAGCCCCCTAACCTGACTCTTGTGTGCCCCCTGACTCATTGACATGATGGGGATGAACGCCTCTGCTGCTGTGGACACACTTGGGACAGACCAGTCCCTGTTTGTGGGTTGCTAAACACCATGTGGGGCTGTTTGCATGTTTACTTGCATGACATGCGTTTAACTGTCTGTGTTCTTGTTGTGTTTCTCTGCTAAGATTCACTGTGATTCTATCCTGTTTGCACAGATGAGGACATGAAAATAGAGAAAAATTTAATTTTCTTTTTCCACTTCACTCATTTCATGTCTTTATCTTCCACATATTTACACTCCTGTCTCTTCTTTCAGTCCACTTTACCAGATGATGTCTTTGAGAATGGCGGCTGTGGCGTGGCAGAATGCAAGCGTCTCTCCTTCACGTTCTCCGACACCTCTGGTTCCACGGCCAGCCCCAGCCCCGCCCTGAGCTCCCACTCCCCCGGTCAGTCCAACCCGGAGATCACCGTCACTCCTCCAGAAACGGAAACATCGTTGACGCAAATCCTCCCGACAAGAGAGGACTCCATCGCAGAGGAGCATTTAGTGGAGGAAGAGGAGGAGGAGTATGAAGAAGATGGGGATACAGGTAGTAGAGGAAGCAGGGGCACCAGCGGCAGCCTCGCCAGTGATGAAGCTGAGGTGACAGAGGACTCGGAGTGGGAGCGCACCGAGTCCCAGCGAAACTCTGGCTCCAACAGTGGCTCCGCTGCCCCGTCCCTGTGTTCTGACAGCCACCTGTCTACGGTGGCTCCAGAGGATGTTTTCTTGGACCACGCTGATGAACTGAAACCCGTGGAACTGGACACGGAGGAGGGGGGCAGCCTAACCAGGCAGCTTGTGAAGAGGCTGACGTCTTCTGAGATCGTGCCCCCCAGCGGGAGCTCTGCAGAGGGTGGGGGAAGCCTGAGCTGGGCAGGAGAGGGGAGCAGGGCGTTCCTGGAGAGCAGCCTGGAGGAGGCCATCCACAGCCTGCTGATGAGGTTGGAGTCACTGACCCACCGCTGCCGAGAGCTGCAGGACCTGGAACAGGAAGTGATGCGTCTGGAGGACCTGCTCAAGGTGACTGAACCAGTAATATGTCCTTAATGTCTCGCCTTTTACATCAACACTTGTAGAAGGTGAACAACAAGGAAATAATTCAGGTAGATTCAGGAAATGTGTGTTGAGGGTCTTCCTGGTTGAATCCCAGTACTACTAAAATTGTCTAAAATGTGCTCTCTGTGAATGTAGCTCAGATTCAGATGCATAGAATCAACCTACAGAATCAAAAACTGAAACAATCTGCAGTTTATGCAATGGACTCAAAAGAGTAAACGATCATTAACGCACTATGTTTCCTCTGCAGTGTCGTCTCCCGGGCCACAGGAGCAGATCGTCCAGCCTCAGTCTGACGGTGGAGAGCGCCTTGGAGAGCTTCGACTTCCTCAACACATCCGACTTCGATGACGAGGATACGGGAGACGATAACGCCGTCCTCAGCCTCCCCCCGCAGAGATCTCCGCTTTTTGATGCAGATGGAGAGAGGATCGGGTGAGTGGGAGACATAGAGAGACAGAAATAATATTGCATAATCACAAAATCAATGTGAGAGCTGAAGTAGGACATCTGAGCTTTTGATGCTTGGTTCCAGGTCAAAAAACACTGTAAAAATAGCACAAACATCTGAAGGTTTTGTTCTTACAAAACAGAACTGCAGCTCATCTCTTTGCAAAAATCAATCTCTGAGACAGAAATATGAAGTTGTTCTTGTATTTTAGTGTTTGATTAGAAAGACTCTGATATCATTGCCTTACGTAATTAAAAAGCATTGGAGGAGCAACACACACCCTGTGTCCACACTGAATATTCCCCAATCAGGCAATGCAAACTTTTTTATATTGTAGCATCATTTCATAACAACGTCATCATGACAGAATTTAAACTGTATGATGATGATTTACTGGTCAATCTAAATAACCTGGAGATAGTGTCATATTGTCACTTTTTCATTATGTGGCATCGTATGAAATATTTTGGGAAAAATGTTTTTGCATATTTTTGTTAAGAGTGTTAAGAAGCAACCTTCCAAGTAATATTACCACCAAGTTTGATGAAAATCCATCCATGCATTGTTGAGTTATTTTGCGGACACACACACACTCACGGGCGAAAACGAACCCTGCATCTGGCTACACTGGAGAACAGGATAAGTTCAGTAGCTCTGTGCTGCTGCCTTTCGGTGGTGACTCTGTGTATCTACCTCTCAGGGGTCAGCATCCAGAAGCCAGAGGACACCTGAGTGAAGCCCTAACAGAAGACACCGGGGTCGGAAACAGCGTTGCAGGAAGCCCCCTGCCTCTGACAACAGGAAACGAGAACCTGGATGTGGCCATCGTCATCCACCTGCAGTACTGTAACCACCTCATACAGGTAGAGCTGCGTCTGACTCCTGGCAATGAATCTTTCAAACGCTTCATTTTGGCAGCATTAAACCACACGCACTGTAAAACCACACATTTGTTCACCGTACCCTTTGATTTTTAATTCATCCACAGTTGTTGACAAACGGGGCCAGCGTGTGGCAGCGCCGCAGTCTGCTGCTCAAACTGTCTGCACAGACTCAGCTGTTAGAAGAACTAGCAGAGATCAGTGTGGACAGACTGGGAACCATCACATCTGCTGCTGACGGTATGTACCAACAAGTGACAACCAGTCTGGTTCATTGAAAGATTCAAGCTGTATTAAACCACAATCTCTATCTTACACTTAAAATATTAAAACACACACAGAATATTATGTGGATGCAGGGTTTGCAGCCTCTGACCTTGTGTTCTGTCTCTCTCAGTCCTCCCGGGCCTCGCTGAGCGCCCCGAGCTGATGACTCTGTGGTCGGAGTGCAGCGGGTCTGCAGGACTTTTCCACACCACGCTGGACCGAGTGTTCAAACACATGAACCAGCGCTACACGGCAGCGCTGCAGGAGAGACACCCACACAGCGCTGACACAGGTCGGCTCATCCTTATTTTCTTTCTGCAGTCAGACCACAGGTTATACTTACAATTCTAACTGTTGTTAGGTTTCACTGACTGTAAGTCAGTAACCATTTTAAATATGCCCCTGGGGGTAAATGAGATCACTGCAGTTGCTAAGAATAGATAAAAGATTAAATGCTGTACGAATTCAGTTGCACTTGGTTTGAAACTCTTTTCTGATTTTCTCTTCTTCTCCTCTGCAGTGATTCCTGTCGTAGTGGGCGAGATGGTTGACAGGAGCGACCTGGTGACGCCACACGACCCTCCCGCCTCGGCTCTGTCCCAGGACGTCCTGACCGTGTTTCAGTTCCACAGCTACATCTCACAACACGAGGTTCAGGACATGGAGACGCACCTGGTGCACCTGGCCAGAGAAGGTGAGTGAAAGTTGTGGGAGACATGAGTGCTCAGCTCTCATTGGTTCTGTCTCAAGATGACTTTGACGATGGTTTTACCTTGACAAATAAATGAATAGAAATAGACATGTTTTAAGGAAGAATATGCAGTTTCAAACAAAAGTGTCTCTTAAAGAGATACCATGTTGAGGTTCTGTGTTGCTTTTCGAAGAAAAAATAAATCTGAATTTGAAAGGAAGTTCTATAATACATGTAGATATAGCTCCTCGTCTGATTTCATAAAATAATATATATTTTCTTTTAGACAAATTTGTGCTTGAATTTATATCATGTCCTCAATGTACATGCTCCCAAATAACCTTTATCATCACCACAACCTTTTTTGAAATTGTGACAGCTCAGAAGATGCTTCCACAGAAAATGGGTTGTGTGCAAATGAGCTGCTGAGTAAATGCTTCCATTTAAGTAAAAAAGACAAAAGATCAAAAAGATCTCACTGAATAGAATATTACAAACCCGCTTCTGACTCATTACCTCTCTGCTTGTTGCTCTACAAGTCACGTTTGAGTCTCTAACGTGTGGGACTGTGTTTCTCACACTCAGAGGTGTTTGCTGAGGCCCTCTGCAGTGGGGACTATTCTCGGTGTCTAGCGGAGCTGGAGGTGGTGCCTGTGTCGACCCTGTGGCCTAAAAACAACACCCTGAGGGCCCTGGCCTCCCTGCTCACCGCAGACGACCCTCATGTCAACGAGGTCGCAGCTGACTACCTCTCCTCCGGAGCGTCACACAGCCACTTCAGGAACAGGGTGAGTGGTGCTAAAGAGAGGTGCACTGTTCTCACTGTTCACTGAGTCTTGACTGATGCTACATGTCATGTCTGAATATGTGTGTGTGTGTTTACAGGCTGTGGAGTGCTACACTCAGGCACTGTCAGAGGCGGGAGGTCAGAGCCAGAGGGCGGCTTGCTCAGCTCTCAGCCGCCTGCAGGTCAGTGGCCTCTTGTTGTAGTTTCTAGCCACAATGACGAGGATGCTGGTGTTTTCACTGTGTGTGTGTATGTGTGTGTGTGTGTGTGTGGACCCATTTTGTCACCACAGTAGCATCATACTGTGTGTGGGTCAATGTTGAAGATATCTGCTCCAACCCATAATTACTGAGTCATTTTCACATTGTGGACCAGACCAACACGTTGATGGGTGTAGTGGCTGGTGTGGCCTCTAGTCTCATCGTGTGTTCTTTTGTGGCAATGATTACATTTGAATAGCAAATGAAATAACAAGTCACCATCTTGAAGTGCAGTGAAAGTGGTTTCGGCCACAGTAAGACGTTTATCAATTCAGCGAAACTGTGTTTAGAAAAAATGTTTTTCTTATT